GCAGAACAGTTTGTTTTCTCCACTACCATCTTCCTGATGTTCTTGTTCTGATATGTCCTGACAAGCCATCTCCCCGAGACTCCCTTTCTCTTGGGACAGGAAGTCACAACCCCAGGGAGAGCGGCCATATGGGCAATCCGGAAAATGAATGTAGCTCTCCATTCCTGACAGCACCTGAAGCTCAGATGTTACCTTCAGTCCTTACCAAAAAGGTTCAAAGAATGTTCTGGACCCAGAAGGCTGTTCAAATCCAAGTGGGTTTTGTAACTACGTGTGGTGCTGGTTGTTAACTAAACTTCTCATGGCCATGGCTTTGCAATATATACATATATCAAATCATTATGTTGTACACCTGAAACTAATACAATGTTGTATGTCAATGATATGTCAATAAAAACCAAAACCTAAACCCAAACCAGGTGGGATCTGGGGTGAGGTGAGCTCAACCATACTCCAACAAAATGACTTAGTTTCTCAAGAACCAAAAGCAATTTAGGACAAGATGATCTCACTCACAACGTGACCCGACAGAGTGGACCCTGAGAGGCGGAAGGCCTTGCAGTGAGGCTTAAGCGCATTACATTTGTCTGCCAACATCATTCTTAATCGATCTGCTCAACATGTTTCAAGATTCCTAATGGAGACAGTAATGACAACATTCAAAGACTGGGGTGCATTTACACTCGCCACCTTCCACTGGAATGGGGAGCAGAACAGCACCCGCTCCTCCGGCCCACAAGGCCTGGCAAACTCAGGTCCAAATGCCTCTTACTCCCGACCAGAGGCCATATTTTCTGTGCCTCCCACACACCACAGCCTGCAACACTGCTCAGAAATGGGCCATTCATGTGCAAGGCAGGCAGTTCTCATGACTCAAAGGCGAGTGACTCAAAGTCCACAGAAGAATTCCATTTCAGAAATAAGGGTAGATGAACACGCAGAACAGGGGTGGACTTCCTTCAGATGCATTTGGGCTTAGCTGCTCTTAGAGGCACCATCTGAAGCCTCTGCATCACCACCGTGCCCCATGGTGGGATTCTTCCAAACACAACCGACAGAGGCTGACTACGGGGAGGTCCCCTAATGTCCCTCCTCCCGCTTTCCTGAGGTCTGAGGCAGTTCGCAGTCTGTCCTGTTGGCCCACCGTCAGCACCTCCCTGCTGCCGCCTGGCCCCATCCCGCCCACCCCAGGACAGAAGAGCTGGCGAGCCTCTGGAGTCCAGAGTTATGTGTTTGTGGCCCCTTGGGTCTCTTTGCCTTCAAAAGCTTCAAAGAGGTGATTAACTTTCCATGTGGGATCTTCCCGCTGAGGGTCAGGGAGCTGGTTAGCATTCCTAGTGGTTTTCTTCCATATCCCCCCTGAACCACTGCCGCATGTTTGAGTCTGTGGACTAAAGTGATGGCCTGTGGTCACCTAAATGACCTCTGGGTTGGACCCAGAGATGCTCATAAACTCTTGCTGTGATGAGACTCTGGGACCTAGGGGATCTTGTGAACTTGGCTCGGGAGTCCACCCACAGGATACACAGCGTGCATTTTCAAAGAATCCAGAAACACACAAACTTCAGAAAGTGAAAATATTTCCTTTCCCTCTGTGGTTTGCACATAGTAATTTCTAGCCAGCCAGCGACGTCAATGAGCAATATGTACTCAGGGCTAGGGTTGCAAACCTGCTCACCCCAGCTTGCACGGAGAGGAATCTGGGAAAACTCACTCACTCTGAAAGCAATCTATCAGGAAGAGTGTCTCCAGAACAACCACAGGAAAAGAGAAAAGGACACTGAGTCAATGTTCAGAAGTGTATTATCAGTCGTCTTATTTTTCTTTTCTTTTTTTTTCCCCCCTGTACCTCATGTTTTATATGGGGAAGCAGATTGGGATGTCCCCGAGGGCAGGGCCTGGTCCTTTCCTCTCTGGCTCTTTCTCCGCACCCCTCACTCACAGCCCCAGGACTTAGCGCTGGGAGAAGTCAAATTCTGGAAGCAGGCTGCCCTGGCTTTTGTAGCATTCCCTAGGAGGGGGCTCTAGCCTGGGATCTTATCTATGCTTCCTGCCTCTGTGCTGGACTCAGGTTGATAATGAAGCAAACTCAAATGCACGCACCGATAAGCAACAGCTTGGGATCCTGACTGGGTCAGACAGAGTCGAGCCACCTGCTCTGCTCGATCAACTGTCCAGTTCCTTGCCTGGCTCCCACGCTGGCCAGGCCACTTGCTCAGATGTCTTGCCTGAGTTGGCTGGGCTGGCCTCAAGCAGGCAGCTGGACTCTCAGACTCCCTGCGTCTCGACAGCCTGGGCATGGGCAGTAGAGGTGGAGGCACGGGGCGAGGACAGGACGTCCAGACAGGAGGGACCAGGCCAGAAGGGGTGGAGTGAGACATTTGTACAGATGGGTAGTGACTCTTAAGGTGCAGCCTACCAGGATGAGCCTGGCCAGGCGCAGGAAGAGCGATGAATATTTCAGTCAACATTCAGAATGCCATATAAATCACTGTGTGGTTTTTTTCTCTATGCGTGTGTCTACTAACCCGCATCTGATCAGGACATCCTGGGGGCAGGGACTGGTCCTTTTCTCTCTCTGGCTCTTTCCCCAACACTCGCCCTTGGCCCCAGGGCTTAGCATGGCCACCTGCCTGGCCGACTGTGAAGATACACACGAACACATGAGCAGGTGCCCTCAAGTCTCCAAGCTGCCTGCCCAACCTGACCTTCTCCCGTTTCCGGAGCCCCTGCTGGCCTATTCCTTTGGCACGCTGAGGTTGCTTCTCTAGCGACAGCTGAAGTCCCTTTCGAGCCAGAACTCTGCTCCTACTGGAGAGCTTCCTCCTCTCCCCCAACTCGATGAAGATCAACTACTTTGAAGCCACGGCAAACTTGGGATAAAAATTAAGCCAAAAGAAAGCCCCCAACAACTCGTGTCACACACCTTGGAGTTTTTTTAACAGATGACAGTGGCAAGGCAGGGATATACATGCCGATGCTGGGAAGATTTCTAGGTCGAGACCCTTGGATGGCCCTATCTCTTAATGCCACGTGAGGAAGCAAGGTCCTGTGCACACGGGGCAGGCTGCCCTGCGCTCCTCCAGCCCCCAGACCCACACACAGGGCCCAAGTTTGCACCTGTGCCAAGCCCTTTTGTTTTAAGCACAGCGAGGAGGGCCAGGCGCCTCCTCCGTCCTCAGCCTACAATCCTATTTCCTTCGAACTCCCCACGCACGCCTCGGGGTCAGAAGGGTGCTTCCTCGTCACTGTGCATGCGCCCTGGCTCCTCTTGGCTTCCTGGGAGCTGTGGACTGACGTATAATAAGAGTCGAGACACGCCATGCAAGGTGGGGAATGGGTGGGATGAGTCTTCTTTCAAAGGAGGAGAGACAAGCAGGAAGCTGAGAATGGAATGAAATGCCCCATGCTTGCAGGGGGTGGCCAGGCCAGACCCCCTCTCACCTGTACTGGTCATAAAGGTGATGATGGTACTGCTGATGCCCTCGTTGTCCCGGGAATAAACGCGCAACGTGTATGTCATCCCGGGATAGAGGTCTGTCAGCCGTACAGGCTGGGCCTGGGCCTTAACGGGGACAGTTTTTTTCGTATGGTTGCCTGGGGAACAGAAACCTCAGTCAGCCTAGGGCCAGGCACGAGGAGCTGGAGAGGCAGTGCTTGGGTTCCTGGTCAGCGGTCAAGGGCAGGAGCATGGGGGGAGGGCCAGGCCGCTGCGCAGACCAGGAGGTCGCTGGACAGCTCCACCAGCCCTTCCATGCGGTGCCGACTCTCCCACACAGCAGCCTTCCCGCCAAGGGCGCTCTTCTCTCTCCCCAGGCTTTCTTTCCTCACTACAGTCTTAAACACTAAACACTATGACCTACTTCCTGGGTGGGAGCTTTCCCGGCGAGGGTCTGAGAGCCACTCAGCATCCCTCCTGGTGAATGGAGGTGAGGCAGGACTCCACTTCTTGGCTCTCACTCCTGGTTTCCCCTGTCTTTTCTCGCTGTGTGGAGGATTCACACATCAGGAGAGGCCAGAACCCTGGCCTCTGGGGTGCGGGGTACAGGTGGCTGCAGGAAGCTGCAATAGCAAGGACCAAAATCGGGGTGCCGATTCTATGGATGTGAACCCCTCCAACCACAGAGGACTGACAGTCGGCTTTGCTCTTTCCTTACAGATCTTCGGGGAGCTCACCCAGGCGGATCTCCTGGCTGGGTGAGCTGGTTTCATTCATTGCTAAGGATAACACCATAGTGGGTCTGAATCTTCAGGGGCAGGGCCCTTCCCTCAAAGAAGGCAGATATCTTGACCACACTCTACAGTCTGATAAATATGTACCCTTGATCCTAAGATCCAATAAAGAGTGAACAGCTCAGCTCCAGCCACCCGCTCTCTGCGACAAAGTGGCCCCGGTCAGTGCCTTGGATGGGAGGCCACTGGTATTCCTCTGTGAGCAAAGCGCAGCTATACTCAAAAGTCTGAACTGGCCTAGCCTGCCTAGTGGAGACACCAGAAACATGGATTGTGAGTTAAGGAAATCCAGGCAGAAGTGAGGTTTGGCTCATGGCTGGGGGGCAGGGAGTGGTGGTGCTTTCAGAACCCTCATCCTGGGCAGGAAGCAGACGCAGGGCCCCATAACCCAGGTCCTCCCCAGCACATGCAACCCTAGACCTCCACTAATAGCTTCAGAAGCCCTCTTCCTTCTCTCTCAGCTGCTCTTCCCACCCCACTGCCGCCGGAGCGCGTATCGATTTCATTAAGTCATAATTAAGCCGGGCTAACAGGCCCCTCGGAGCCTGGGGGAGTTCGCAGGATCTCTCTAATGGCATCTACACTACCCGCCGCAGCTGCTGCCACCGCCCCCCCCACCGCTCAGCAATGCTTACTGTCGGTGTACTCAACCACAAAGTCAGTTCCGGGCCCGAAATTGTGCTTCCAGGTGATGTTGGCCCATTTACTGTTGGGGAGCACCGTGACGTTCCATATGGACTGCCTGTCGGGGGCTGGTGGGCAGGTTAGAAGAGGGGTTAGTGGTGAGGAGGGAGGCAGCTCTAGAGACACACACACGTGCACACACACATATATATACACGTGCGCAGCTCGGAAAGGGAGGACTCAGAAGAGGCTGTGCACAGGGCCCGACAGAGCTCCAGGCTGCAGCCTCGGTGGCCAGGCCAGAGGTCGCCACCCAGGTACGAGCGGGTGCAGTCAGGAGGACCTGTGAGTGCGGGAGAGCTGGAGTCGGTCTGTGTGTCCACGCAGGTAGGGGCAGGAACGAAAGAGTGGGTTTCGACCTATGCCACCGGGGGCTCGAACCTGGGCTCTTTCCCTTTTTAGATCCCTTGTCATGGATCGGAATGGGGCGGCGGAAGGAACCCGGAGAAAGCCCCGTTGGCCAGCATACAGACCGAGGGCGAGAGATGTGCCAGCCTCATTCCCTTCAACCACAGACATTCTACAGGAAGGAGAGAGGGATCTTCCAAAGGCCCTCGAGAGTCGTGATGTGTAGGAAGGGCGGGACCAAACGTCGGAGAGCTTTACGGGGCTCCTGACACTGGAGGAGAACAGTAACCCAGACGGGTGTCTCTGGAGTCCCTGTGGTCCTTCTTGGTCAGCAAGATCTTGGATTATGTGGAACATGGCCTTGGACTCTCTGAGGGGACTTGGGGTCTACAACCCCAGGGTCCCAAGTAGAGAGGAGAGGTATGAACCCTTCTTCTCCCTCTCCTGGGCTAGGTGGGACCCAAAGAAGGTAACTCCTTCTTGGTCCCCCACCCTCGAAGGTTCAGACACCAGAAGAATCCAGTTCTTTTGGCTTCTCAGCACTAAATTGTCTTTGAGGCTTGATCTCCATGTAATACGGAAGACATTAATTATCTAGTGCCTACGAGCTGGGAACTACTTTATCAAAGCCACAGCACTGTCTGAAACCATAGCCTGTGGACAGGAGAGTGGCACTAATCTTCAAACGTAATCATTTTTCACGAGTCCCAGCAGTCTGATTACCCCATTTCCCAGCAAAGATTTAATAGTGGAGTACTAGCATGAAGCCTTATATTTCAAAGACTTTACAAGTGTGGCTCCTGTATATTTTATTAGCATTCAAGGGGGCACTGTCACCAACTCACTTGTCAAAAATAAATGAATAGAGTACGTTGGTGATGCATTTATTCATTATCTATTTGACATGTGACTGAGTCTGCAGGGCTGGGAAGTGATAAAAGATCTCCTGGTCTTCACTTCAAAGAAGTGCCTTCTCTACTACAACCTTGTCAGTTGCCGGTTGCCCCAGGTGAGTATGATTCATGTTAGGTGAGGGGCCAAGAAAGAGACTCCACAGATGGCGCCATGGGGCATTCTCTGTGGGAAGGGCAGAACACAGGCTTCTTTACTTATCTGCCTGGGGTCTCCATTGTACTGGTGGCTTTTAGCCACCCCAAATCCCAGCTCCTTGGAATCTCATGGTTCTTGCGAGTGGGAATGAACTAGGAGAACTCATGATTTGGGAACTTGAGCTTCTTCCTCCTCAGCTCTGGGGCCTGGAAATAGCCAGAGAATTTGGGTTTAAACAGTTTGGCCACCAATACAATACTGACCCAAATCTGAGGGTCTCAAAGGTAGTGGAGATTGGGGCACTGCTAGAAAAGGTGAAGTGATGGGGAAGCAAAAGACTTAGAGGTGAGAGCTGGGGGAAGGCAGTGCCATGTAGAGAGACCTAGATATCGACCGCTCAAGAAAATGTTCAAAGAGAAAGACCAGGAAGGAGGGCTATCAATTGCTATAAAGAACAGAAAGTGTGAGAGGAAGTATGGATTGTTCTGCCGAGTCCTGGAATGGGAGAATTAGGGGTTATCCCTTGAAATCTGAAAGAAACAAGTTAAGGACAAATAAAAAGTCCCATTTCACCCTGAAAAAAGTAAACTTAGGAAATGTGGTCCTAAGGCATAAGAATGATAAAGATGAACGATCATTTAAAAAATCATGGATGACAGAGCCACTCTGCTGCATTAAGGGAAGTGAGGACGTTTGAGGGGTGTCCCCAGGCTCTAAGGATAAGTTCAGGGGCACGGGCAGGTCCTCCACGGTGTCTTGGGCAGTTAGAAGTTGCACATGAGAGTCCATGGGGTTAGTCCTATGTGGCAGCAAGGCCGACCTCTCCAGAGGGCAAGTAACTCTGCTGGGGAGCAAGATCCAGTCCCTTCTTCATCCTTTGTGCATCTCCTCTGTGACCTCACAGCATCCATGGGGACACAGAGCTCTGTTATAAGGTAAAGATGCCTCCCTGTGGCCCCAAAGAACACCCATCACCAAACTACTGGTGGCAGCTTCTAATAGCCTGCCAGGCTTCCTCCTCAGCCAATGTCTTCCTAAAGCCCATATTGTTTAAATTCTAGATATTGTATCTTTAAAGCAAATCGGTGTTTTCAAGGCTTGAAGAACACAGTGTCAGTTATGTGTCCCCTCAGGGCTCATGTATCTCCATGTAACTGAATTCAAGATGATACTCACACGTGCATCAAGCCTCCATCCTCACTGAGGTGCTGAGAAGTGAGGCCCCGGAAGGTAAAGGGACTTGCCCAGGACACAGTGGGGGCCTACCACCCTACAGCTGCCGGCGGAGGGTTCTGGGTGCTTCCTGCCTGCCCTGTCAGCTGCATCATGCTGACTCTACAGCTGGCCTGTGGGCTCTGCAAGCTAGAGGCCCTCCCCTGGATGGTAATGAAAGAGTGTTTGATGCTTGGTTCTTAGAAGTATGGCTGGATTCCTGAGGGGTTGTCCTCATGCTGGAAGAACCGAGCTTCCCGGCCTGGCTGCAGGATGGAGGAACAGCACATTTTGTGGGCTTAGCAGGCCAGCCTGGAATCATTTCTTACCAGGGGCCCCGAGAAAGGCTGCGATTCTCCCTCCATGTGTGCATCTGGGTGTGGGGAATGCAAATGGGAAGAGGGACAGAGCACCCTCCGGCATTATGGGCCTCCCTAGCAATGCTCTTTCCTGGAAGCTCTTCTTTAAAAAAAAAGGGGGAGGGCTGTAAATGTGCTTTGTTGGGAGAGGGGTGAGGGAAGAGCAGGGCTCTGGGAACAGAGCTGCCCGGCGGGGCCGACCACTCCCCTCTCCTCTATGTTGCAGGGCTGGAAGTGACATGGCCAGGGCGGGAAGCCCTCTCAGGCCAACTATCCAGGGTCAGGCCCCTGCCCTTGCCCACGCTCTCTCCCTTCCGGAGTGCTCAGCCCCGAGCCGCTGCTCCGCATGGAGGTGGAGGCAGCCCTCCCATCCGGGACCCAGGGGTCCCGCCTGAGGAGGGTGGGCCTCTGTCACCAAGGATCTGAGGCCAGAACACGGCTGTGGAGCCATTGAGGGCCACCCAAGGTGGAGAGCGCCTAGGGGGTGCTCCGTGCCCCCAGGCTCCCGGACTGAGAACCCCTGTGCGCTCTCCAGCTAGAAACAACGGGAGGTGTCGGCCAACGGCACCCCAGACCCGCCCTCGTACGCGGGGGCCTCGGCGGAGGGACGGGGCGCAGGGACAGTGGGCAGTACCGGATTCGGGCATCTTAGTCCCGGAGGTGGTGGTGGGAGGCCTCTCCGTGGTGGCAGCAGCAGTGGTTGTAGTCGTGGCCACGGTGGTAGGTGCGACACTTGGGGTGGTGGGGACTGTTGTGGCTTCGGTGGTGGCAGCGGGGGCGCCTGTGGCACCCACCGTGGTCGGGGGCGACGTGGGAGGAGCTGGGAGGGAAATGTAAAACAGCCGCGTCCGGTCGGTCCGGGCGTCCCCCAGCCTGGCCTCGCGGCCCCGCGTGCAAGGCAGGCAGCCCCGGGGAGGCGATGGGGCTCAGGGACCAGAAGCCTCCCCCAGCGTGACGGACCGGGTCGGACGGGTCACAGTGAGAGAACACAGCCATGGGCCAGGAAGAGAATGAAGCCCTGTGTGTGTTTCATTTTCTTCTCATGGTCTGTGTGGCTCGAAGCACCCAGCATGCACCCCGCCCACAGTGAGGATGAGGATGGGGAAGGACCCACCCCGAATCGCTCAGGCCCCAGGGACGGCATGGGGTCCCCGACCAGCACCACCCAGACACAGGCCAGTCAGCAGCGCCTCGGTCCGGCCCTGGAGCTCCCGCCTTGGAGGGGGGCAGGTGGTGGCTGTGTCCTGCAGGAGCACTGGAGAGACTCCCATTCCCAGCCATTCCCTCCAAAAGTACCCTTTCTCACAGCTGTTTGAGTTCTAACACCCCCAAACCCAACGACAGAGCGAGAAGAGTCCCCACTCTGTGGGTCAGCCTCCCAGCGGGGTCTGTGTCTCCTGTCTCACTGTCTGCCCGTCCCCAGGCTCTCATCTCTTGTCCATGGCCCTGCCTCTCCTCCCTTCTTCCCTGCCCGGTGATGCTCCTTCCTGCAATTACCCCACTCCACCCTAACTCCTCTCTTCTGAGGACATCTGGGCTCCAGGAGCCCCAAGTCCTTTCCCTTCACGTTAAGATGTGGGATGGGCACTAATGCAGTCACAGCGTACTCTGTGCTCGGTAGCTGGAGAAATCCCAGGACGCAAGTGACACACATTTGTGGGCCTCTTTGTTGCATAAGTCTTCAGGGAGATTCGTTAAAAATCTGTGCCCTCTCTCACATTCTCGTCTCCCACCCAAAGCTACCCGGGGTGTCAGTCAGCCCTGCGGGGCTAAGTCTATCCGTGTGACACTGTCCCCACAGGCCCGATTTCCTTCTACAGAAGGGTCGTGGAAGCTAACCGAGGGTGGCCCTACTACTCTCTAGTTCCATTATTACCAAAAGCCGAGAGGATGAGAAAGATGGGGGCAAATCTGAGAGAGGCAGAGCCCCTCTTCCCTTGCCATCTCCTGTCATCTGATCATGGTCCACTTTATGGGGCAGAAGGCAGGGACGTTAAGACATAAGAAGATACTTGTAAACCCCTGAGGAATAGCCACATCCCAGCCCCATCTCAAAGCTCCAGAAGTTTAGGAAGATAAGATCCCCACCGCCCAGAAGGGGGCCAGGGCAGGGAGGGAGCCAGAGAGCTTTCTCAGGGGGGGAATGAAGAGATCCGAGGCCTTTTCAGTAAGAGCCTGACCAACAAAAGCCCTTTCACTCCCCTGGGTCTCCAATATTACAAGTCTCCACAGAGAAGGAGGGAGTGTTCTGGGATCCCAGCCACTTCCCTAGTTGCAAGATCAGAGGCGGTACTAGACCCTGAGGGTGCTGACCACAGAAGTCACACTGGGTAGCCAGCCTTGTCCCATGCATTCCAAACATTCCTGCGCAGGGTCAAAGCAGACCACGCTCTAGTCCCTATGCCCCAGTCAATGCAGACATCAGGAAGGTGTGGGGTGGGGACAACTCTCCCTGTCAAAGTCACTGTTCAAGGATGTATTAGTCCAAGGTGGCCCCAGGCCTGGAAAGCCCAGTGCTACAAAAGCTCCACACGAGGGAATCCACCTATCCCATTCACCAAGACTGACAGACAAACACACAGAAAAGCCAGAGAGACCCACAGGGCAAAGGTCAGCTCTCTCCCAGGCCTGCCCCTTGCAGCTCCCTTGGCCACGGACACACATGGGCTTTTCCCATGCTGCTCTGTGCTGCAGGAAGGACTCTGGAGAGGCTACCTGCGGGCAGGACCTGCTCTGACTTGGCTCCTTAACAATGGTGTATTTTCTAATCATTTCTGGCAAGTCCAATGTTCACAGGGCCCTCCTTAGATTCTAAGACTATTTAAAAGGCATCATCAAAAAGCTTTGGGGGGGGGGGACTCTTTTTGAGTTAAAACCATCCCGCTCTGTGTAGTGTACACCTGGGCAGTGGTGTTACATTTTGTGGGCCCCCAGAATCAGTGGCATTTCCCCCCAAAGCTATACACGCTCTCACATGCCCCTTGGTTCTCGTAAAGCAGAGACGCACACACTACACTCCCACAGGCCCACAGCTAGGCTCACACACACTTCCCTGCGCATTCCAGCGAACAGCCCTGGGAACAGAGATGCTAAGAGAGGCTAGGTTAGGGTGACTTACTGTACTTACAGTAAGAGGGGAACAGGAGGCAAGGAGTGGCTTCCCAAGTGTCCTCCCATTGGAGTCACTGTGGAGCTGGCAGCCTCAGCTGGCTGAGGTCACAGATGGAAAACCAATGCTCTCTCTGACCCACTCATTAGCTGTGTCTATTGTCCCATGGCTGCACAGGGCAAGAGAGACAGGGAGACTGGGAGACAGGGAGGGCAGAGGCGAGACGGAAAAGCTCTGAGTCAGGGGAGTGAGTTGTTGGAGGCTCACATAGGCGAGAGGGGAAGGCAGGTTTCCATGGGGAAACTGTCCGGTGCTCAGGTCAAAGGGGACCCAGAGGATTTCATCCCCTGGGGCGGGGTTTGGGTAGAGGACAGAAGGGGACAAAGGGCTTAGAGACAGAGAGGCCCACAGGCTGGACAGGCACATCGCTGAGCTCGGATGTCATCTCCAATTAAAGCAGGAATTATGGGCTGGAGAACCACCCTGGTCAATGATCGATGGAGAGCACCAGCCTGGCAACTGAGAGGAAGCCGGGGGTGGGGGGGGGGTAGGTCAGGGTGGGCCTAGAGCTGGAAGCACCTACCCAAGAGCCATGTCAGCCTAATGGGTTACCTCATGCACAATGGAAGGCACCCCAGCCGTGGCTGAGGGTTTGCCACCAGAGTTTCGGGGAACACCACAGAAGAGATGGAGAAAATTGAGGAGAGAGGTCTTGTCTTACTCATCTTCCTGACCCCAGAACTTGCCACGGAGCTGCCCAGCAAACATGTGCCGATCTGAGTCACAGAGGAGGCCAGCAGTTTCCAGACATTCCAAGGTGGAAGGTTCAGTCCAAAAATGGCCACATGGCGCATGGACTACCCTGGCCAAACCACAGATGGCCAGGCCAGATGGGCAGCCATCCTGAGAGGCTACAGACACGGGTGCGCGAGAGGGATTATTTTCAGTGGGTTAAATGTGAACAGAGTAGTGTGGGGAAAAAACACCCAGGCTCGGGGAAGAGGAGAGGGAAGGGAGCAGTGGGCTGGACAACAGACCCACATCAGAAATGTCGGACCTGGGCTCCATTGCTTGGCATCTGCAGATTGTGCAGAAGGTTCTAGAGCATTTACAGCTGAGAAGAGCCGAAGCCACGAGCACATCTCATTTACAAAGACGTACACCGTACCTCTACCACCATGTCACAGGGAAGCTGGCGCCCAGGAAGCACATTTGATGGAGGGTCAGAGACCGTGCACGCATGGTCATGCCATGATGGGCCTGGATCTTTTCTAAATGGGCGGCAGAAGGTGGGGGGTTTGGAATGATCACCTCTCCCTCACAGGTGCCACTCATGAGAGGGGCAGCCCAGGCTGGCTCAGATGCTCGCTGAGCAAGGCGGACTCCCTGCTACCCGACCCACCTGCCTTGGGTCCCAGAGTGCCAGAAAGGGGGAGGCAGGCTGGGAGCTGCTTGACCAATGAGCTTCCGGAGGATTCTCTTGGTGTCCTGTGTCTCTACCTTCTATGTTTACTAAGCCTGCTTAGGCTACCCTGAGCACCTGTTAGAATAGTTCCAGAAGAGACCCTCGTGCCAAGTTGCATCGGAAAGCCAGGGCAGCCCCCAGAGTACAAGGATGGCTTTCTCCACGGTTCCCAGGCCCAGGACATCTCTCTACCTCATATGCCAGCGGAGGTGTTCGGGCCCTGTGGGGAGGCACTGGGACCCACCAGCCTGGGTGATGATGTGGAGGGGGGATGGAGAGCTGGAGGGGTGGGGACAGGGAAGGATGATGACTGCGCACCACCCACAGATCTGGCAACACAAACACAAATTGAAGGAAGCAGGGTGTGCAACAGAAATAGAATCAACCTAAAATGGGGGTAGGAGGAAACCAGATCAGGCGGTCATCTTCACAAGCCAATCCCCCGGTTCCTCACCTGCTTCTCAGTCCTCCCTGCTGCCTAGAGCTTCAGGAGGCTCTAGTGATCCCCTGCCCCCTAGCCTTTGCTCTGCCAGGGTGCGCCTTGCCCTCAGCGTCAGAGGAGGACAGGGGAAGGAACCCTGGGGTTCCCTGCATAGCACCTCCAGCTTGAGGATAGGTCTTCTGCGGTGACACGCCCTTTGGTGTCCTCAAACCCACAACATGAGGGCTTGAGAGGACTGTGATCAGCAGGCCATTTCCTAAGCCGGGACCTGCCCGCCCACTCCTCACTTCTGCTATGCATTTACCTCCCAGACCCCGAGAGTGGAGGCTGTTCATGCTGAAGACTCTGAGGAGCTGGGTTTCTAAGGGGCGAGGGAACAATCAGCCCATGGTGCCCACTAAGACTCCAGGTCCTGGAGCACCTGGCCCTATCCAAGGACAAGATCACTCACGGTCACTGACCAGAACCCATGGTAGATGGCAGAGCTGGTGCTGGGCCCCCATGCAGCATGCATGGTCAACATGCACAGTGTTGCACAGTGTGCTCACCCACAGGTCACCCTTTCAGGGGATGGCAGCCTGACCAGAAGACAGGAGCCAGCTGCCTCCACTCACGGTACAGGATTCCTTCAAGGGACACGGCCAGCCACCCAAGGGCTGCAGACCCTCATCTCTCCGAGATGTCAAAACTAGGCAAGGGCCCAGGTCAGTCCGGGGAAGGAATCACTCAGCTTCCAAGAAAGCTGCAGGTGCAGAGGCTAGGTCTGGAGCCCATGTGTGTGGGGGGGCCCCTCCTAAGCCATCCGAGGGGGGCCAAGAGTATGTGAAGGGAAGAGGGGGAGGGTTTGAGCTCCTCTGGTTCCGTCCTCCGCATACATCCCTCTTGACAGTCTGGCTTCCCAACCCCTGAAAGGGTAAGTCTGGAGCATGCTTTCATCCCGAGCTTCTCCCTCCTTCTCCACCCTGGCTGGGCTGGGCTCCACCTGCATTGTCCCATGCCATGCCCATTACCTCTGCTGCTGGTACGGTACCTGCAGTTGGAGTAGCTTCAGAACACAGCGCCCAAGATGGCCAGAGAGAGGGAGAAAGGATGAGAGAGGGAAGACAAAACAGAGCACAGGTGAAACCACAGGACAAGCAAGCAGAGAAGCGTCTGGCTCAAACCTGACCCAGACAGGGTGGCCAGGTGCTGGCTACTGCCCCGAGGATGCTGACTGGTGTCCAGGGTTCGTGGTCAACTCCATGGGGGGTCTGGTATGTTCCTACAGAAAATTTTCCACCCGGATCTTGGAGACCTTTCTAATACACTCTGATTCTACCTCCACTCAAAGACTATCATCTAAGGGGTGGCCGTAGGGACGGTCTACCTAGAGTGCTCTTGTTTCCAGGTCTTTCCCCAAGAGTGTGCCCTTCCATAGCCAGGCTGATCTTTATGAGCAGGTTGGGTGACCTTTCAGGATGCCAAGAATTGAGGGCATAAGGTGTAGGTGGCATAGGAGGACATCAAGCCCAGTCAAAAGAATGGTTCCTGTATCTTTGGGGGAAGATGGTGAGTAGTGTTGGGGTGGATGGAGGAGGGGCAAGCGTATTTCGTGAATCCTCTCCCACACCATCTCGGCCTTGGAAGGCCCGGGAGCTGTCACAGATGGCAAGCCTGAGGCCCCTGCCTGGAGGGTCTGCTGCCCAGTTTTTTCCCACCAGCTGTACTTTATGAAATAAGAAACCCAGCTGTGGATTGGGAGCCCTAAAAAGAATTCCTGAATTTACTGCAAACCCCTAAATGGAGAAGAAAGTCTCCCTTTGTCCTCTTGTCCCCTAGGGCCCCAGAACGTACCCTGTGGTGGTCACTAGGGCTGGACAATGGGGTATTTGTTGATCTGATGTTCTGTATTGGGCTAGGGATGGGGAGGGACAAGAGTCTCTCTTTATGTCTCTCCTTATAGAATTAAGGAATCGGAAAGTGCACTATCCTCCGTCTGGCCAGGCTTTTGGTAAGAGGCATATTATCAGCCACTTACCCAAAGTTCCCCAGCCCTAATAAACTGCCCGAATGCCCAGGGGGGGTTGATGAGCACACAAGGAGGGGAGCTTATTGTGTGGCTCACGCCTGGTTTACAAGACCAGAGAAGGAAGGACCGTTAGCCTTTCTCTAGTTTTTGCCTGTCCCCGCTCCCGCCTGCCTCAGCACCGGCCTGCCGGCCCTCGGGGGCTAGGGGAGGCAGGGCTGGGGAGGGGATGCAGTGCAGCTCCGAAGCTGAGCTGGGAGCCCCGGCAGCAGGCCTGGTAGCCCCAGTGAAGGAAGCCCTGAAGCTCTCCTGGGGTGGGGAGGAGGTGCTCAGGAGGTCCAATCTGGGCCAGGGTCAGGCCATTGGACCTCAGCCTTCTGGGACAAGCACCGCACTGAGCAACCTGTTATCTGCTTCTAGAATCCCAGTTCACACTGCCTCTTCCCTTGCAGAACGGACCCCTCCTCTGCCCAGCCTCTGCCCAGCCACTGCACCTGCCTCAGCTAAACCTAACATTCCTCATGTTGAATAGCAAGGAGATACTCTTGTGGATGTCTCCCCTTCCAGACCTTATCCCTTGTTTTTGGCGCAGCGTCCAGGACCTCATGTTGCAGGTGCTCAGGAAATGGCTGTTGAATACACCACTGCTCCTCCGAAGAGGCAGGGGGTCCCCTCCTTCGGTAGGGGGCCTACCAATATCTAGACTTCTAAACCTGATATCCTGGAGCTTCTGGGCGCCAGCACGGGTACGAGTGGGCCTGGAGTCCCCCCTAGTGGACTTCTCAGGCAGGTGCACTCCAGTGGGGACGCTCTGTGGCTGGGAAGATGCCAGGAGCCAAGAGCTGGCTTGGTCAGTGGCTGTTTCCCAACACCCCCCCTCCCCACGGCCTGACACCCCACCAGCTCAGGCTGCAAGCAGGGACGACACCTCTGGCTCTGCTCATGATCCTGGCAGGTAGCCTCAATCAAGGCTGCTTCCCTCCCTCCTTGGCTCCATGTGTCCTCGGGAGAAGGGGGATCCCAGAGCCCTCCCCAGGCACCCTTAGTAACCCTGCTGCCCCTCTCGATGGGCGAACACTGCTGCAATTCTCTGAAGTTCATGAGCACGTTTACCTCGCACATGCTTTCCCTCGTGTCATCTCTACTATGGACTTAGGCTCTCTTTCCTATCCCCACCACCCGCCCCAGGAGGACAGATGATAGATGTTAGGTAGCTGGGCAAGTCAAGGCAAAGTGGCGATCAGGTCTGACTGCAATCGTCTAAGAAGATCTGAGTTTTCCGGATACATCGTCAGCACCTACCTCTCAGCATAGGAGATGGGTTCTCTTGTATCCTACTGGGGGGCTGGAGGACCTGCAGCCTTATTTTCTCTCCATCCCAGAAGGCCGTCCGGCCAGAAGGCCAGGTCAGGGTGTTTCTCTAGGCATTGGAATTAGCTGGGACCTTCCACCCCCAAGGCGCTGTGATGCACCTACCTTCGTTCGGGGGTGCCGGTGACTCCTCTGTGACTGCTTCCCCAGAGCCCACCTGCGTCCTGGCACTGAGGGTAAAGCGGTAGCGCGACACGGGGTCTGCTCTTTGCACCGTGAACTTGGTCTGATTGGGAGAGAAGTTTTCCACTATCTGCTTTCCTAATTTGGTTCCATTAACTGGGGAGAGATAGGTAAGTGAAATTGAACTTCAGCAACACTGACCATGGTGGGTTATATAATCTGCAGCTGGAAGGAGAAAGCCTTCCAGTGGAGCCTGCCCCAGGACCTTAGTGACCCGGGGGATTGAAGACTGGGGTTCAAGGGCAGAGACCTGGGCAAGAACTTTCCAGCTCTTCAATGACACACCAGTGTTAAGGTTTTTTCACTGATCTCATTATCTCCAGCTCACTGCAAAGTTATGTGGCTGATTCTGAAAGATTTAGTTTATAATCCCCAGGCCTTTCCAACAAGGACAAAAGTTTTGAGGTCCTTTCTTCCTTTCAAACAGAACTAGGGCAAAACCACTAGAGCTTTTGATCATTAATGCCTCCTTCGTAAAAGGCCTGTTCAGTATACCTCAAAGGGGGACAGTCAGGTTCAGAGATCATTCAGAACAGCATATAAGGACACAGCTGGCTATTAAAATCGTCAAAAACACAACACCTGGCCCTTTGAGCTTCCCAACGAGATACAACATCGCCTACTTTAGAGGCTTTTCAAATGTAACGACATTCATGTCGCAGGGTGACACTAAGCTCTTTCGGTGAGGTCTTCCCTACCCAGGCTCCTGACCACGTCCTTCTAGATACAGCCGCCTTACCATAAATGACACCTTATTTAGCATCCCTGAGTGTTGTGTGGATTCCCTTGCATGTAGTCTACCCCATCGGATGAGGTGCAGAACTGTCTTTCCTAGACTCACTTGTACGTGTTGGAGACTCTAAGATCCTCGAGGGGCCGGGGTTGAATCCCTCATTAGATCAGAAGTTCCCTTTGTCTCATGAACCAACTAGAAGCTCCCTGCAGAAGGAGCTGTATCAGGTGAGCGGGGGGGCTGGGTTTCACCTGCCTCCCCTAATCCTCTGGGGAACTTTCTCTGTGGCACCTCCATCATTCTGCACCCATAGGCTTTCTACCTCGATTCCTTAGTGAAATGGTGAGAATGGGGTTTCTGAATCCCGGATTAAGAGAAAGAAGGGAAGAACGTACAGGCCACGTATTTGAGAGTGTATCCAGTCAGGATCCCATTGGGGTGTTCTGGATGATCCCATTCCAGGTTGATTGTCTCCAGGTTGGGCTGCCGGACTCGGAAACGCCTGGGGGCACTGGGTACTTGGGGAAGGAGGAGAGGGCAGGGGAAAAGAAGGGGAGGGCAGAGGCAGGATGAGGAAACACAAAAAAACAAAGCACAAGTATGAAGGCATTGACCTCGGGGCAAGCCCCATGCTGGACAGCTGCTAAGCCAGAACCCAGGAGAACCACAGGGGGGCCAGAGCCCTTTGCCCCATCCAGGATGCTGTTCCCCCCACCCTGTTTAGGACAAGCATGGCTCAGACTCCGTTTAAATGGGGAAGAAGTCAGTCAGGTTTTCCTTTAGCAACTACCGTGGATTCAGCACACGGTAGGCTCTGCCCCTGCAAAGATGCCTTCGAGCCAGCAGGGAACCAACCAGAGCTGTGGGCACAGAGGATGTGGTTCCCAGTCCTCAGGCGAGGAGTCTCAGCCTGGGGCCCAGCAGCAGGCCCAGGCTTCCGAGCTGAGAATGTGGGGTTCAGGGGTGAGGAGAAAGAAGCCCAAGATGGGACTCATGGACAGGGCACCAGGAGCGGGGGTGATGGGGAGAGGCTGGAGGTGAAAAGCAAAACGAGGGGGCGGGACAGATAGGAATAAAGAAAACAAGAGGGAAGAACAAAGAAGGAGGAAGAGAAGAAAAAGGGGGGAAAAAGCGGTTAAGAAGGGAGGGAGGAAAAACAGAAGAGGGCAAAGCAAACGCAAACGCAGAGCTGATAAAGGAGGACGAGCTGATAAAGGAGGATGTGAACTTCACAAGTGTCTGCCTCCCAGGCTCAGGGGGACCTGGAACAAGCAGCAGGCAGAGCGCCCCCTGCAGGGCCACCGCGCACACGGGCCAGCTGTCCCGACAGAAGCTTCTGGATCACAGTGCAGAGAGAATTCTGAATGAAGGTCCTGGGTGCTGGGGAACAAGCCGGGTGCTTCTGGTGGTCAGGGTGACCGTGCTTCAGCCTCCAGAGGTGGGGGTGGCCCGGGCTCCCGCAGTGCCCTTGGCAGGGGGTTGGGGGAGAGGATGTCAGTCCGCTAGCCCATCTGGAATTTTGTCAGCAGGCGGCCCAGGTCTTCTCTTGAGACACAACGTCCTGTCAGGGCAGGCCACCGCGGTGATGGAGCACTCTGGGAATGGCAGGAGCTGCTCGGCTCGCAGGACTTCAGCGCCTTGGGGTCACGCAGAGGTCACCTTGTGCTGTCGGGCCCAGGCCCGCTGGAGCTGCTCTGGACCCACCTGGCTGTGCTGCCCTTGTCCTGCCCCACCCCGAAGAGCTGCAGGTCAGACCTACCTCCTTCCGGGGTGGTGAACTCCTTGGTTTCACTGCGAGGCCCATCGCCTCTCCCATTGACCACAACCATCTCCAGCTTGTAGTTACTGTAGGGGAAGAGGCGGGACACCACGCCCCGGGGGCGGTCACCAGGGAAGCTGGCTTGCTGCCTCTTCTGAGACACCCACAGGTTCTTCAGCAAGCTGCTCTCCCTCCAGTAGTAAGCCTTCGGGACAGAGGCGGGCCGGTGAGGGGACGGGCAGGCGGGGCTGGGTTAGTTGTTAGTGCCGGTGGTGGTGACTGGTCTTCGCTTTGCTTGCCACAGGCTCCAAGTCCCGAATGCCCTCAGCAGCCCCGCCTAGGGCTGGGGGAGCGGCCCAAGAGGCCCCGTTCATTAGCCCCTAGCGACGACCAACTGACGTCAAACAGGAAACAGGGGCTTGGGGTTTGATCATTTTCTGAGCCACATGAGCTCTCTGGGAAATAGGCAAGTTGGCCAAAGTTACTGATGGAGTGGACACTTATTTCCAAGCTGGGGAACAAGGGTCCAGGCATGGAAAGCTCTCTTCTGGGCTCAAAGGCCACATCGCCTTGAGTTGGATTAGTATGGTTTAGATCGGCAGTAGGCAGGAGTTGAAAAGGAACAGGTTACCCTCAGAAGTCTGAATAGGGGAGTTGATTTAATCCTTTGAAGTCAAATGGTTTCTTTTAAAATTGTTTGAAGACCTTTAGAATGGGCTAGACACATGTCCAGGTCAGTGGACACCAGGCTGCCTAGTGGCAAGAGCTTGGATGGGATGGCCTTCAGAAGGTGGTGGTGTTAGGGGTAGAGTTGAGAGAGTCTGGGACACAAGGTACGGTTAGCAGTATGTAAGAAGGCCCAGGTCAGGCTGCCACACCAGGGTCACCTGGGCCTCCAAAGGCAAAGGAAGGCGGAAGTCAATATTTAAGAAGGGGACCCCTTAAGAAGTGGACCCAGTGGGAGCTTTCGCCAGAAAAATCTCCGGGCAAGTAGGTTAAGGGTGCAAGTGCTGGGGAAGAGCTCATTCAAGTGTATACATCTTCTTGCCTTCCTTCTCCTACCTACCGAATTCACATCCCCAAAGAGACCGGTCCCTTCCATTCTGCCCACAATTGTCCATCAGCCAACTCTCAATGACCTCTAAGTCACAGAACCTGCAGTATCCCATGCTTACAGCAGCCGTCACCTCCCAGACAAGTTTTAAATGAAGCTACGTGCAAGGGAGAGCCTAGCGTGGCCTGGTTTTCTCTCCCCCTTGCCCGCCTCAGCTCCCCCTTGCCCAGAGGAGAGATACGTGAGCAGAAACTGCCCGCAGGCAGGGAGACCAGGAGAAGCCAAGGGCCTCGATAACCCATACGCCAGGTAATCCGGAGTTGGCTGTGACAACAGGGAAGATGTTTACACCTTTTGGTGGCTCTGCCTGTTAGTGAAGGTTTCATGAAACCAGACTGGGTGAGGCAAGCAGCCCAGTGGGGGCCATTAAGAGAGGGGAGGGGTGTAGCTCAGTGGTTCCTCAACACTGCTCCTAAGATCCCTGTGTGTCTGCTCACACATGAATTATGAGCATAACGTGCCATATGGAGCATCAACCCACCGCCCTCCGTGTGCTTTTCTGCTGAGTAGAATCTCCCAGCATATCTGTTGCAGAACACACCTGCATATATACAAATAATTTTTTTTCTGGGTGTATTTTTGGACAGCTAATACTAGACATCATCTTCTTGAATCTACTCTGGATCCAACAACTATCCCTAGGATCCCTTCCAAGTAGCCTATGGCCCGCATCTGCTACCCCCTTGCCCTGGTTAGCAAGCTGGGTGGTTAGGCGGGGCTGAGAGCTGGTTTCCTCACTCGGTACTCTCTGAGTTGGCCCTGCACCGTGTCGGGGTAGACGCGGTTCCACTGAAGGCTGATGGCTGTGCTGTTCAGGACTCGGATTTTAACATCAGTGGGTGCAGCCCTGGGATCTGCAATGTGTTGGGACAGAGAGCTGGTTAAGCAAGCAGGGCTGGCCCCTGGACTCTAGGGTCTCCTCAGACTTGTTCTCTGCTGGCTGGTGCCTCCATCCCACTCTGGACACGGGGTACTCCATGAGGGCAGGGGCTAGGACTGTTCCAGGAGATTGCCCTTGGGGGGATGCGGGAAGGCCAGGACAAAAAGGCGGCCATCTGGGTGGAAGGGATCTGCCTACATGTTTAGAGGGCAATTATTTGCTATCCTCCCAGCTGGGT